AAAGTACGTTTTAGAACTAGGTTCATTAATACACTAAAACCTTCTCTTACGTGTAACTAACTCTTTTCAGAAAACCGCATCAAATATCCGTTAAGCCAATCGCGAAGATAATTGCGCACAAATAAATATACATTAATACAGGTCAAACATAGAACCTTCTTTTTGAATTCAGTTAAAAATAGTTCTGTTTACCTATAAAAAAACATATGTATTATATGAGTACCGATTTTAATGACACCCAAGGTCTAACACGAATTTGAAGCGCCCAGATTTTTTCATCTCCTGTTAAATTGCTTTCTTGGACTCGGATCCTTCATCACTAGGGCCACAGATTATCGCTTGTATTTTTTAAAGCATCGCTATCTTAGCACCGTAAAAGCTATGGCTGCAAAATATCAAGATGGCAGTTTTACACGCACTCGTAAGTTGTAAGCACCATATTTTTTCTACGAAACACTCGAAAATCGAAAAATACGAAAATTACGTTGAGTGATTTAGGCTATTTTTTTATTTGGTAACTTAATACTTTAAAGAGGGAGTATAACTATAAATTAATAATAATTAATATCATTTTATAATAACGGTTTTTAGGCCATGAGTGGAATATACCGATGGTCTGTAAAAGGATCTTATGGAAAACATGTAACTCATTACATTTATACGAAATGCAACTTCATCCTTCTGAATTACGTTTCATTTTCGTGTAATGACTTTCGAAATTATGTTTGAATATGTTACAAGTTATTTTTAGAATTACGGAGATGTGTAAATCATCGGCCGCGTGCATGATAGTTGTGAATGTTTAGGAATGATGATAGGGCACGAAAAAAATATTCTAAGTAGGCCGTTAGTAAGATAATGGAACATATATTTGACACGTATTTTAATGTAATTGATTCGTAAGAAAATGTGGCCTACTGACACAATTAGGTGTAAAATGGTATGTTAATATATAATAAAAGATATTTTTCATAAATTGAGGACTTTAGATGAAATAAAACGAATATCTTAGAAAAGTAAGTCGCTTATGACGTCCCTATTCAGTAAACAAACTGAATGACGTCATACATAGATTGAATACTGAAATTACATTTCTATTAAAATATGTACCAAATATTTATTTAACCTACTAACAGCCTTCAAAATATTAATTTTCGTTTATTTTTATAGTGCAATGAAGCGAAAATACAAAATGTCCGCTTAACAATATCGAGACATGGAGATATGTTTGGCCCTAAAACCAATGTTGATGGCACTCTTACACGAACAAGATGTACAGACAAAGCGACCATTATTAAATGGTACATTTAAATATGGGTACTGTTGTTCTAGTATTGATTGGTGATATCTATATAAATAATTTGGCTAATTTTGGTCTTGAAATCTTCGTGAGAGTCCAGGGAAGGTTTAAAAGGTGAGAAACTTTTTTTTAAGGCGACACAAAGGTGCCAGGTTAACTAGTATTTCAATAATTATATCCATAATACTCAAAGACGTCTGAGAATTGCTATTAACAACATTGCTATGTGCATGGTAAAAAATTACAAAATTGTTCAAAATTTAAACAAGATATTTTTTTAGACGATAAATACATGCGTTACTGTCGATAAAATACATTATGCCTTTTATTCACGAAGGGGTTGGCAGAGGTGCAGATTACGGCACTTAATGTTTTGCGAAAATTACGTCAACTACTACTTGTATAAATGGAACTAGTATGAGAAACTCCTCTTTTTTGTGAAGTGGGTTAAAGCATTCGTCTATTCAAACCTCTTAACCCGTTTCCCCCACGACACATGGGAGAAAATGCTAGTGTGGTGACACTTTTTCAATAAATGATCGAAATATATCTTTAATAACTTATAGAAAGTCACTAACGACACTAGAACAACAGTACATACGTATGAACGAAGTACATACACAAATATTCGCTGCCATATCACATACAAGACTTGTATAGTACGTATTTATACACACATCTAAAGTAAAACAACTATAAAAGTGGCTCCATTAGAACATACAATACATCGATACTTAAAACAAATGGAGTTACCGTTTTTTGCTCAACAGATGGCGCTACTTTTCGTGCAATACAGAAACTGGTGTCACATTATTAGTCGTACAAACGTTGGCGACTACAGCGATTGGACAAATTGTTCTTTTGTTTGATTAGTGCCATGTGGTGAGAAAAAAATGGTAGCCCCTATTGATTTTGTTAAAATTAGACATTTAATACTTTAAAATAGCTTCAAAAGTTTATTTCAAATCACACATTAAGAAAATCAAAGATATAAAAGTCGTTGCTACTTTTTGTGGCCCAAAGTGTTATTCTGGAATTTAATTATAACACAGAAATTCCCGTTTATAAGTAAATTGTTGAAAATTGACAATAATACAAGTATAATAATATCGATAATAATAGATAAGTATTAAGAACTACCATTAATTTAAAATGACATAACATTACGCCTTTTACAAAACCTAAACATTAGGCAGAGGTGCATAAATGTCACACCAAGTTTTTGCCAATTATAAGTCCCATGTAATAGGATTATTAATATACAATTCGAAATCAATTATTTTTTAAAGAAAACGAGGCACAATCTTACAAAACGATATACCTAAATGGAATGTTTCAAACATGTGGTACTTTTATTCTCCCCATGTGTAAAGCTACAGTATTGTTTAAAATGGTTTTATTTATCTTATTCCGTTTGTTTATTTGAGTCAAATTTAATCATTGGAATTTTAGCCCCTTCCTGACGACAGATCGATCTGATATTTGATACAATCTTGATATTGATGACCATAATAATATATATAATCTATTGTTTTCCGCAAATACCTGTATTTTCGGATATCAAACGAAATAGATTGCTTGGTAAAATGTGCACTGCAGTGAGATCCACGAAATTGTCCGATCTAAGAGCACGTGTATGTAAAATTGTATGTTTCTAAACGCACCCACGACACAGGAAAAATCTAGCTTCTATTCCAAAAAAACCCGCTACGGTATTTTAATAAAACACATCAGTATAAATCGCTTAATAAGATTGGCCTCAAACAATGGAAAAATAATAACAAAACGAATTCCACCCAACAAAAGATTTAAGAAAAATATAAATAATAATCACAGAGACACACATTTACCTAAAATAAAGCCAAACTAATTACTAATAAAAAGATATATTACCTCTTTACGCGAATATAGCAGTCATAGATTAAATATTAAAAAGAAAGAAGCTGTGACGTATAGATTGACGCTAGGAGCTATGTAACATTTTAACTTCTCTGAAAGGCAAATCAATTGATCCAATGAAGGGTATTTTGACCTATCTATTTGCTTATGTACCAAAGAGCAAGTAGGTGATTAATGCTCAAACCTTCTCCGTGAGAGAAGAGGCTTTTGGTTAGCAGTGGCCACTTATAAGCTAATGAATTGTTTGTGTCAAACCATTAGTTATTTTTTGAAACAATGCAGTGATGGAACTTTTGCGCATGAATTAGCGCATTAGCGCAAAACCCTTCATTGAATTTTAAGGTTAATATCATCCAACTGGTATATACAGAAAATAAACTATATAGGTACAGTGAACTTTCAAATGCTTAACATTAGTACTGCGACGGACACTATTTCTATAATACTTGCTGTACATTCAAAAATGACCATAAAACTAAAGACACAAAGATGAAAATTCTGTGTTAAAATGAGTTCAGAATAATCGGATGGCATTTACCCACTGAACCTATTGGTTATGGTCAAGATGGCGTAACCATAGCCCTAGCATCAACTTCAGCACATGCATAATACACTTGTACATTTCATTTTCATTCAGATTATTATTCTCGTCCCAATACAATTTCCTACTATTACAAGAAACAATTTTAACGAACAACTTACTTAAAACACTTCGTACGAAATATTTCCCCTCACCCTCGGTACATATTCGACAATCACAATTTCTACTTATTCCTACATAATTGGAAGTATCTGATATTTTGGCAACACCGTGGGAATCCGCGTCGGATATGACTATAGTGGGCACGGTGACGTTTCCGTCAGTGTTGCCCGGTAATGAAATGAAATTAGATTCTGTGTCGGAGTTCCGGTCTGTAATTTTGTGAGGATTTTTGGAACGACCCCCGAGCTCTTGTGAACGATGCCTGAGGTTCTCGTTGCTTCTAAACTCTTGTTTTACGAGAACTTGTCTTCTCAAATCCCTCATCATGATATCTTGGAGACCAGACCTCCTCTGCCGCACCGCGCTACTCTCTCCCTGGCTAAACTCCACAGAAATGCTCCTGTAAACCGGTTTCTGCGCTTCAAACTCTTGGTCCTCGTCATCAGACATCTTCGTTTCTACATCGTCAGCGGATTTGTTGAAGAAGTTTTTCAGTCTGCTAATCTCAGGAGACACTGGACAGCTGATGCTGTCTTTTCTCTTAGGGATTAGCAGTTTAAGTTTTGGCCTTTCACTTGCTTCTTGAAGATTTTCTACCGAAGTTCTATCTTTAATACTGTCAAAAGTCCCGGAGAATGTGAAACATCTTTGCAGTTTCCTTATCTGCGGGGACACACCGCCACTCGTGGCTCCTAAGTTCTTGTAGCTCTCACTCAGCACGGCCAGCGCAAGGTCACGTTCTGAGAACGTTTCCACACCAAAAGATGCACGCCTGCTTCTCGCCCTGTACGGAGAAGTGGGGATATCTTCGAAACTCCTGTACCTGTCGGTCACACTGTCCCTTCCTTCTGAATCCACCGTCCACAACGACCCATCGCTGCCCGAGCTGTCAGAGCCAAGAGCTTGCAAGTGATTGAAGATGTCAATGCCTCGATCTAGGGAGATAGTCCGTTGTAAAGGAATATCGTGCTCAAACCGATCATCATAGAACACATTTTCGTATTCTTCAGCTTCGTCGAATTTGTCGCCGATCCAGCTGTGGAACTCCTGAGTGCCGAGGTTGAGGTTGAGTAGTTCTTGTCGAAGGTCGAGTTTAGAGACGGGAGGGTTCCTGATGTCCGAGTAGCGTCGGTGCGGGGGGGTGTGAAGGGGTGCGGCGGAGATTGCGTGCGGGCGTGCGGGGGGGATGGAGTGTCTACGCGGGGGCGGAGGCACCTGCGGGGTGCGAGGGGGGCGCGGGGGACGCGGCCGCGGCGGAGCCCCGGAGCGAGGATAGCGAGCGCCGCTGGAATCCGCCCACGGCGAGATCAGACTCAACAAAGAGCTTGCGAAAACTGTGAACACATAAACAATTCATTAGTGTTGCAATTATACAGCAAAAGAAGCAAATAACTTTGTAGTCTACTAACGAACGCGATGAAGTCGCGTAGCCGTAACTAACTTTTTTCGACGCATACTCGAAAGATTAAACACGAGTAAGCCGCAAAACCATTATAAAACAATGTATTGTAGTCGTTCAGTAAAAATATTATTAAATCTTCTAGAAGGATATGGAAAAGGAGTGTACACTATATAAATCGATATTTATACAGAATTAAACTAAATGTAAGTTACACTATCTACTGTGTATTGTGTGTAAGCTGTGTTTGGTGTAAGGCAATCAAAATCAACTGTCTTCTATATTAGGTAGAGAGCGCTCTGAAACTTGTATTAATAAACTGACTTGTATTAATAAAATAAAAACTAAATCATCGTGAAACCCGTATATCCCCAAGCGGCTACCGGTGACCGCTCTCCACTAACTACATTATAGACCTTATTTCCAATGTTTAAAGATTGCTTTTGCTTTTGTATGAATAGATTTAGGGGATGATTTTCAAAAATTTTCAACGAGTAAAACACACGGTCCTCAATCTTAGTGACGATTGCAATTCAATTCGATTTTTGTTCTAAATCTCTCAAAATTTGTGCTGAAGGGTAACATCATTTATTCAGAAGGTTAGAGGTCCCCGAGTTACGCCATCAATACATTTCTGACGTTCAACGCTCTGATTGGCCAGCTTCAATTAAACAACCAATCAGAGGGCTGAAAGATGTTCAGACCAGGTTACTTAAGAACCTCTGATAAATAAATATAAGAGCGTTATCATTGCCTCCAACTAAATAATTACGCACTGAATTACATACCTTTTTGCCAACAAAAACCAGAATGAAACTTCAATAATTTCTTTTCCCATTCTCTGCTTAAACCCATCATATGCCAATAAACGTTCAAAGCGCCCCCCACATGTAAACGTACCGCAGATTTCTTCAATACCAAGGGCCGAAAGAGATTCTCGGCGGCGGGGAGCGACGACCTTCACTGCGCGATGAAAGAGCCAGTCGGAACCTAGGCCCGCGGGGGAACAAACAAACGTCAACAAAAATAGGGGACAAAATAAAAAAGGGGTATGAGGAGAAAAAATAATACGGTCATTAAAATTTGTGTCCTATTTTTTATATAATTACCTCTTGACTGCCGGTATTGAGACATTGTCTTGCTTATATCAACGTTCAACAGCATACCAGAGGTTAATAATTTTATTATTCAAAGTACTATATGGCTGCAGTAAATATAATGTGTTACTGTTGCTCTAAAAATAAGAGCTATGATTTTAAAATATGAATAAACAATCTCTACTTCAGAAAATCTTAAAAAATCTATCCTATATCTTTTTAATTACTATATTATAATTCATATTCATTCATTAGCATTAATCTACAGCAAAAAAGTGACTGAATAAAACATCTATTTTTTATTAAAACTTATTATAAAATTAATAAGATATTTATTAGAAAAAAATGTGCAAAAATGAACTCAATGACCTTGACAATAAAATGAAAAATTATTTTTACATAAAAACAAAATGAAAAATTAGGGTGCTGGACATAAACATATGTGAGTAGGGGTTAAACAAAAAAGGGGGAAGGGGGACGGGGGATAGGGAATGTGGTCAAGCGTGAAGCGTTTCATAACAAGTGTCGTATGTGTCGTGTCGTATTTGTCGTAAGTTTACATGCAACACCGTGCGTCAACTGTCGTATCGTGCGCGCAATCTCTTTCGGCCCTGGTTGCATTTTCCATTACATTTACAATACACAAAAAACACCTAAAAACAAAGAAATTTTGGATGAAAAATACCGAAAAGTTCTTAAGGCTAGTTTTCCATGCTTTTGAAGAACAAAATATGGAGAAAAATGTACCAGAACCAAATAAAAGCTGGAGTGTGAGGTTAGGGGGTTGGACGCTACCATACATACATTTACACAGTACCGTTAAGGAGTGAAAGGTACCACAAACAGATATACAGGTTCTTAAGACTCAAAAACACTCACTATGATGGTGTATTTTACAATAGTGACTTGGTGATCACAGTCGTGTGGCAGTGATTGATATTTTTAATTCATAGCAAAACATTTAAGTTTGTAGTGTTGACAATGATTTCTACAAAAATCCGATTGATATCAAACTTTATCATAAAATAATATGGTTGAAAATGTATATAGCATAAATGTAAGTATAATTCAATACTAAAATGTGTTTGGATAAGTGCAATTATACGAGTGTTTTTAAATACTAAAATTAGTTTTCTTTTTTAATTTAAATGTGCGAAGTCTAAGATCAAACAGTGCCAATTAAAAGGTGTACCCTAGATATCGAACCGAGACTTCTTGCTTGAGAGTAAAGCTTACGACCACTTGACCAACGAGGCAGTTAGTTGATATCATATCCATCACCAACCCAAACCATATAATAATAATAAATAGTCTTTAATAATAACAATATTTAAATATATGTAAATATATTTCATTATATTAGTGCATGCATAATAAGAAAATTAAACAAATTTTTAAATTTCAGAGACAACAATTAACATGCAACTTACTAAATATTCACATTACAACAAATACTATTTTCGAGCTCGTCCGTTTAGTTTCGACTTCAACCGGAGCTCTTAGTACTTAACTCGAAAGTTATAGAAGTATCGATATCAAAGTAGGTAGAAGAAATAAACAAACTCAACTGATCAAACTAGAAACATAGTTATATAAACTGTTAACTCTAATATCGTGCAACACATGCTTATATATAATATATCGTACTACCAAACCAGGAGACCAACAATTTACTCCCAAAAATAAAATCACAAAGCAACCTTTTTCCTTTATTTACTCTATAACAGTGACCTCAACATGCATCCTTCAAAGATCTAGTCCAATAAAGATTTGGCGTATACTCACAACTTCCTGATTCCGCTGTTCCTCTTCCATGGTGCGTCGTCAGGTTCTGCTGGCAGTGGACCTTGGACTGGAGGCTCTTCCTCCTCAGGGTGCGCTGTGCTCACTGATGGTGATGTGTCTGATCCACTGTAAGGGTGAAAGCAGGTTAGGTTAGACTTTGTGACTGCGATATAAACGATTCAAGTGGGTGTATTTTTGTATAAAATGGTTTTTTCGTGCTGCGATCTTGAAGAAAGATAGTTATCTTTCTCTATCCCCCGTCCCCCTTCCCCCTTTTTTGTTTAACCCCTACTCACATATGTTTATGTCCAGCACCCTAATTTTTCATTTTGTTTTTATGTAAAAATAATTTTTCATTCGTCAGGAATATAGACGAAGCATACCGGTGCACTCACAATAATAGCAAATTTTTCGTAATTATGTCATACTCCTAGCTAAGGTAACGCACAACTCCTGTCTCAAATAAGGTAAATTGTTCTATATTGCTATTCACGAGAGGAATAAAAAAGAATACGAAAACTACGACGGACAGAGTATCCTAATAGGGTAGTTTCCTAAATTTTATTTTTATGTCCGTCTGGTGGATTAATTTAAAACTTTAGACACGTATTTTTCTTTTCTTACAAAATTAAATGCTTTCGACGATATATTGATTTGAAATGTCGTGTGACTACCTCCCACTCCTAAACTTAACTCCATTTTATTTAAGTATTGTAACTTTATACGAGAAAAAAAATACGTGTGTAATATTATTTCATTATCTAACTGACGGACTAATTAGATTTTTAATTTTCTTACCCTGGAAACTACCCATTATATTGTTCTTCTCCATTCGAATCTTCACTTTAGAACGAGCGCCTAGCTTCACTCACAGACAGATGGACGGACAATTCAATTTTGAGTTCCGAAAATGCCTAATTCAAGATTAAACTGTCAAACACCAAGCGGTCACCGGTGACCGCAACCTATTGTTCTATAATTGTGTCTACAAAACCGGTACTCGACGAGTTAATTGAAACAAATGCTTTGACTTTGGATATTTGTATGCTTTTTAACAACAAATATTTGTTATGATTTTGGCACTTCAGGCGAAACCACAAGGTTAAAGCTATCATTTTTTTAAGGGACAAGCCCGCCACAACCTTCCAATACCGCTGCAACTCCTGTAAGCCAGGATCTACAGTAGATACAACCATGAAAACACCGGAACACTGAAGTCCGGCGCGTCACAGGGACATGAATAACTGTCTTGGTTCCTGCAACGAAGTGAATCAGAAGATATTATAAGAGGAAGAGAAAATAACGATAGTATCCACTAAGCTATCACTTCATTATCTCCATATTAGTTATAAATATTGCCATATAGATTGCCTCGTTGGCAGAGTGGTCGCAAGTGCGACTGCCGGGCAAGGGATCTCGGGTTCGATTCCCGGGTCGGGCAACGTATAACTGGGTTTTAAAAAAATTCTCAGTAGTAGCACGGAGTCTGGAAATGTGCCTGGTATATGGCAATAGGCTAACTCCCTATTACATGGGACTCATAACATAAATAGTGAAAAGTGGGTGTTATTTCTGTGTGCACCTCTACCTCTTCCTCACCTACCCCTTTGGGGATAAAATGCGTGATGTTACGTTATGTTATGTAATAACGATTCCACATCATCATCTTACCTATCATGTTGCTGGTCAGCCTGCAGAGCACTGAGCTGCTCCTCCGCCCGGCTGAGCTTCAGCTTAAGCTCGTTACGCTCATGTAATATGGCGCGCAGTTCCCGTACGCTGAAGGTAGGCTTCGAGGACTGGTCGTCATCGTCACCGCCGTCTGGAGTCGCCACGCCGCATGTTGGGCACTTCTGTTTACGAAGATATGATTTATTGAAACGCTATTTACTTGTGTTATGGGTAATTTAATGTCAATAAAGGATAATCTTATGTCAGCTTCAAAGAATGTGTTAAAAGTCAAAATTAAATGTTTTTCTACTATCGGTATTAAATATCAATTTTACTAACAATCTGGTGAGATCCGCACGTATGGTTAGAAGATGTCTATAATATAATAATTACATAAACTAAGTTAAAAAAACTGACTTTAATCCCCTCTTTTTTAAGTCGTTTAAATAGTATACTAAAACCTTCTCCTCAGTGTAACAAACGATGATTTTACACAGATTTTTATTTTTATTTTATACTTTTTAGTTTATACACAGAATATATTATATTATGTACAACCCACATGGGAGCAAAATTTTCATTAATTCAAATTATTTAAGCTCAAACACCAGGTAGCTACTGTTAACCATTGAGGAGTTCCCTCAGCTACTTCATCATCAGACCCTTATTGACAACCACACCACACCTGGGTATAAAGTCTTCATCAATACAAATTAATCAAACCCAAACATAAGGTAGGTGCTAGTAACCGCTGAGGAGTTCCCTCAACTATCGTATTACTTCATCATCAGACCCTTATTGACAACCACACCACACCTAGGTGTAGAGTCCTCATCAATACCTCTACAAATTAATCAAACCCAAACACAAGGTAGGTGCTGGTAACCGCTGAGGAGTTCCCTCAACTATCGTACTAGTTCATACAAAAATAATAATAAATTAAAAAGAAAAGAAGAAATAAATACAGATACTTATATAGTTAATACAGAACAATAATGATAAACTAAAAAATAAAGATACGACAGAGTATAACATAACAGTGACAATACAATAATAACACCACAAAAAAGGTTTTTAGGTGTGGTAGAGCCATGCTTCAGCACGAATGGGCCGGCTCGACCGGAGTGGTAACACGGCCTCACAGAAAACCAACGTGAAGCAACGCTTGCGTTGTGTTTCGTCGTGTGAGTGAGGTTACCGGAGGCCCAATTACCCTCCCCTTCCCCAATCTCCCCAATTCCTGAATTCCCAACGATCCTCAAACTCCTAATTCCCAAAAGGCCGATAACGCACTTGTAACGCCTTTGATGTTTCAGGTGTCCGCCGATTGCTTACCATCAGGTGATCCGTCTGCTCGTTTACCGGCTTACGCCATAAAAAAGAAAAAACACATAGAATCATATTAAAATTTGAAATTAACGATGTCAAATGTAGCAGAGTGCTAATTAATAAAATTATTCCCGGAGCCCAATGTTAGGTACTGAAGCGATGCTGTTTGTAAATTTAATTACGTAACTTTTCATACGAGCTGGACTTGTGTGGTGAACGTAATGCGGTTTATGTTACTCTATGTAGAAAAGTAATGAATGTATAATTAGGGTACAAGTGTAGTGCTGCCTTTGAAGAACTTGGAAGGGTGAATATGTTAGTGGAAAGTCGTTTCGAGGTTAGAATAACACATTACTAGACAGGACTTGACTGAACGACTGCCTCGTCGGTCGAGTGGTCGCAAGTGCGACTGCCGGGCAAGGTCTCGGGTTCGATTCGTCGGGAAAAGTATTATTGGGTTTTAAAAAAATCCTCAGTAGCAGCACGGAGTCTGGCATTGTGCCCGGTATATGGCAATAGCCTCACCCCTATTACATGGTACTTATAACATAAATAGTGAAAAGTGGGTGTTATATTGTACAGTGGCATTAAGTGTTGAATGTGCACCTCTGCCTACCCTTTTGAGGATAAAAGGCGTGATGCTATGTTATTTTATGATTTGACTGTACGGCTGGTACAGAGGTCGAATAACTGGCTGTTAAAATAACTAAAAATCGCGGTTTATTCGCGTGAAAATACTGAGAAAAGCTCTACTAGTTTCGAGCCACAGAGGGGTTCTTCCTCATGAGCAGCGTGCGCGGTCGCGGCGATATCGCGCAGCCTACCAGAGCTACTAGAGCAAATTTGTCTCAGTATATTCACGTGAGTATTCCGCGATTTTTAGTTAACGTAGTATGTCTCACGATAGTTATGACTGATTGTTGTTCGTATTTCACAAATTACCATTCGCTTAGAGACTGGAAATACCTATAGAGATATGTTACACTTGTGTGTCGATGAGCAGGTTAAGACGTATCTCAGTTATCATACGAACATTTATAACAGTTGTTCTAGCTAGTTAGAAACTTCAAGAATGTGACAAATCTAAACAAGAATTTTAGTGACCTTTATTAAGATGTGGAAGGCAGATGGCGTCTCTAAGCTTCATCATCATCATCATCATCATCATCACAGCCTATAAATGCCCACTGCTGAACAAAGCCAAAGCAAGAAGGTTTGAGCATAAATCACCATGCTTCCTCATTGCGGGTTGGCGATTTTAAACTTGTAATTAGACATCATAAGCCCAGGTTTCCTCACGATGTTTTCCTCGCCGTTTGTCAGTGGTGTCTGAATAATCTTAGAAAGTACCTATAACTCGGAAAAGTCACATTGGTACTTGCCGTTGGTTGGTTGGTCTTAAAGCTAAAAAATCCATACATTCAGCTAAGTCTGGTTATAGATTCTGTGAGTTGGATTTAAAAAAATAATTGGGATAAGGCTGCAAGGTAACAAACCTTGTTCTGTGCGCTATCTTGTTGCAGCGCGGCGATGTCCCTCTGTTGTGACTGCACTATCGCCGTCAGCTCTGAACGCTCCTCGCAGACTAGGCGCATCTGGAAGATTAACATACACACTGAATATGGATGATTTTGGATGAACGTTTGACAAGTATCGAGTGGATGATAGATTAATTATGAATCGAATTAAAAAATTCTGTTGATGTTGATGGAAACCCGATTAAGTTCTTGCCTTGAATAATTTTATCAAGTTCCTTAACTAATGTAATCGAAACATCCATCATCCATAACTAATAACATACATCATCTTAAGAATCAAACATCTTTGATAAGATCATATAAAGAGGCATTTAATGAGTTAAGAAAGTGTTCATCCAACATTCATGAATCATCCATCACAAAAACGATCCTTCAAAGCAGCAACAATCAATATTGCTCACTAATTTCAAATGTATGTCAGAAACAAATAGGTCTTTCGATAGCACTAACTAGATCAGTCCCTTTAGCCAAACGCCACTTTAGCGCTTGTCTACAGAAAGAGTAGAAAACTAAATGTATGGGGATGACACTGACAAGTGTCAAAATTTACGTCATTTCCATATAATTTGGATTTATATTCTACATGTAGACAAGCGCTAAATGACATTTGGCTAGTCTACTATAGCTGCAATCTACTTACCTTCATTTCTATTCGAATTAATTTACTTTTAATGGTAGACAAAGTTGTTGAAACCTAAGTATGGAGTGTTTTGTCTAAAACTTATAGGCTCTTTCTATAACCAGATCCTTACATAAAACATGTAACGGTATACCAACGTATGGATAAGTGTTAACTCATCAATTTTGTACAGAAATTCCAGTTTCAGCTTCGTATGTTTCGCTACGATAGTATGTGCTTCGAAGCTAAACTGTTGCTAAATTTATATTCCACTACCAAAGTTAGGAGAGCATGCACCTGAGTTAGTTATGTACGATGTACTATGCATCTTATGTTATTCTACAAAATGTATGCAACTATATTATTAACTTTATAAACTTGTAAATAAAGTCGAAAATCAGTTAACCATTTGTGGTCACATTTGTATCAGCCATCACTTTTCCAAGAAGGATTACTTGATAGCATCTACATTACAGGAAAATAAAAAAAAATTTCAAAAGAGGATTAATCACAAAAAACTATTGTTTTAATGTAAATACTGGCCACCGACACGACATTACCAGCTAGCTTAGGTCATAGACGCGCAAAAAAGAACAAATTGAAATGTCAACATGACATATGACGTCAAATGTCAAATCTTTCACTTTCTCTTTGCACTTCATTGACCTTCAAACTTTTATACAAGCAAAAATAGTACTTATAAACATAGAAAACCAACATACCTGATTCTGTATTTGCTTATGCTTCCGCCGTAGATCCCGGCTGACTTGTGCCAATTTCTCCACCTGATTCGTCAACTGCAATGTGTCCAAAATGGCCATTTTTAATCACCAAAAAAATTAAATTGTAGTATTCAAGACACAAGTTAAGAGACACGTGATATACTATGTATAGTATACCGTGAAGTGTGGGTAGGGTTTATCTATTGACACCCACATAATGATAAGGTTGTTGTCAAAAATAATTGATTTCTATGTGAAGATTAGATGATTAGATACTGTCATTGTAAGATTCGGGGGGTTTATATTATTCGGTTTTATTTATATAAAAATGGAAGATAAGATATTTTTGTACAGGTATCGTATATTGGAAAAATTCTGGTGTTTTTTTGAGCTCTATAAAGTATTACAGTGGAAATTGAAGTTTTAGTTTTGTAGCAGGTGTAAGATTCTAATGTTTGATTACTTCAAACATGTTTTCATTCGCGTAGAGTAGATGTCAGTTTACAGCAAGAAGGAACTAGCGTATTATAATTATTTACATATTATATTTATGTTTCATATTAGTATGTAGTATTGGTATGTAGTTTATATACTGGAATACCTTTATATATACGTACATTTATCACACTCGTTTTTTTTTTAAATAGATGCAAACTTCTTTTAAAACCTACTGCAACACTTCTCTGCATCACCCTATGGTTGGCTGGTAGAGAATGCCATTCGGCATTAAGTCCGCCATTGTATACATTTGTACAAAAAGTGTTAAATAAATAAATATTGACAAATAAAAAAATATCGTTCACAAAATCCAAGTCCACGCTGGCTCCACTCCTAAAATCTCACTTTGCTATAACCGCAGATAGAAGAACAGATCTCATCGCACACTTGAAATCATTCGACAGATGACACAGATCAAACAATTCCCAGAAACCAAATTAAAACCTCCTTTGAAAGGTGAAACATTATTATTCTTTCTTTAAACAAAAGAAAGTAGTTCAATCATTTTCTGGAATAAAAACAAGGTCTGCAAAAAGATAAATACAAAGAATTTTCCTTTAACTAAAATGGAGGACGTCTTATTGATTTCTTTTGAAAATGTCCTGTCATCTTGTAGATTGTTTGGGCAGGCACCCAACGGACCTATGATAAAGGACCGACACCTACGTACCAAATTACAATGATGACCTTTAAGGGTCTAAAGTACCCTATATTTTGCAAGTTTCGTTGTTTGCTGTTGTTGTTCAGTGTTAAGAAAAGGGACGTTGTTGTACAGAACCCTTTAATTACAAATGCAAAAGTGTGTTAGCAAGATTATAAATATGAAAATTGGTTTTCTTTTGACATGGTAACGGAGAACGCGTTTTATGGTATGATTTTAACGTCTGGAGACAAGCTCGCCACAACCTCCCAAAACCGCTGCAACTCCTGTAAGCCAGGATCTACAGTAGATACAACCATGAAAACACCGGAACACTAAAGTCCGCGTCTGGAGAGACTTCCGTTATGTTTCGTCGGGTAAGTGATATTATCGGAGACCTAATTATCCCTCCCCCCTTCCCCAATCTCCTCAATCCCTGAATCTCCAACAATCCTTAAATTCCTAGTCCCCAAAAGGCCATTAACGCATTTGTGACGCCCCAGGTGTTCCGGGTGTCTATGAAAGACGCCAATTGCTAGCCATCAGGTGATCCATCTGCTCGTTTACAGGCTTATCCCATAAAAAAGTAATACAGACTACTTTTTTCTCTTTAACTAGGCAGTCGAGGCCACTATTCTTCTTACAGGATATATTTACAAAAGAATTTAACTCCTTCAAGCAAGTACGTCACTGAAGAAAGAATAGGCAGAAGAAGAGATGAGAGAAATAGAAGATAAGATAAAAAATCTTCATTGCAGTAGGTTCTCTGTCGACTTTTCTCTTTAGACTATTAATGCTAGGTATAATAGTTATCCTAGATATATTCATAGTTGGGAGGGGCAACTTTGATCTTAATTATATCAAAGTTAAAGCTCACAGCGCGTTTGAACGTCCAACTTTGTTATTTCATCTGGACGCTTTTAATTAAAGCCTTTTTGTAAACTTTCCCTTCTCTATGAAAATAAAGTTGTAGATGAGTTGTTGTATAATGGCTGTTGTATTTTTATGAGTTTTAAAATGAACTTTTTTAGAAAAATCTTGATATAATACTAACAAAGTAGTAGGGCATTTTGTATTGTGGATTTAAAAAGAGTTTTTTTGATCTTGAAGTCTTCAATAATCTGGAACTGTGTCATGTTTTCACTATGGTAAAGAAAGAAAGAAAAAACAATTGTTCAGCACTAACCACGATTCAGCATAAGTAAAATATAAAAAAGGCAATATAGATGTGACAGTGGAAGTAAGAAAAAAACGTAGAAATTTAACTAACATCGGAATTGGCGACATTTGGCGCGATTGGTCTTTCTACAAAAGAAAAAGTAATATGTTAAGTATGAAATACAATATGACGAATGAGTGGTTTAACCCCCATTATAAATGTTTTATTCCTTTGTAGATACTTAAATGTTTTCTGAATTTATACACTCACAGGCACATTTAACCGTCCACTTAAGAAATACGTCATCACTTTAGTTTGCGATAAGGAATGTTTATCCCGATGGATGTTTTGTTTGAAGTGGATACTTTGACAACAAATTAAACACTCTGACCCTTGTTTTTTTTAGAAGTTCGTGTATACAGATGCATTTTTGTACTCTAGTCGAAATTTGACATTCCTTGCGATCGGATTAGTGTGAGATTTAACCTGGTTATCCTGCTCTTTTTGGTGTAATTACTGTTCTGTTAAATTATTGCATTAATTTGATTACTGTAATCACACAAAAATGCCACTGGATGCAACTGGAGCTGCAAGAGCCGTAGCTTTTGCTGATGCTGGGTACAGCCAACGTCGCATTGCTCGGATGCTTGGTGTACCTCAAACCACTGTACAGGATGCTATCAGGCGCTTTTGGGAGACAGGTTCCAACATGCGGAGACCGAGACATGGCACGTCATCGGTGCACATCTGCTCGAGAGGATCGTTTCATAGTGAACAATGTGCTGAGAAATCGCTTCACCACTGCTCCCAAGGTGATAACTAGCCTGTTTGAAGTACGAAATGTCAGCGTAAGTGAACAGACAGTGAGAAGAAGATTGGCAGAGAAGAACCTGACTGCATTACGTCATGCACGCGCCCCAGAATTGCTCCCACAGCACCGTAGAGCGCGACTTCAATTTGCGCGAGAATACGCTGACTGGACTACGGACCGATAGAAGGACGTTCTGTTTTCAGATGAAAGCAGAGTAGCCCTACGACGTCCAGATGGGCGTTAGCGAGTGTACAGACGACCAAATGAAAGGTTTGCTCCGTGTACAATAGTGGAAACTGTGGGTTATCAGGGAGGTTCAGTAATGGTTTGGGGGGGCATCAGTTATGACGCTCGTACCGACGTCTTAGTGTTTGATAGAGGCAGTGTTACTGCACACAGTTATCTGGAAGAGGTTTTGCAAGCCCACGCCGTGACATTTGCACCATTTATTGGTGATAATTTTCAATTAATGCACGACAATGCCCGATGCCACGTCGCTAGAATAGTGACCCAGTACCAGGACGAGGTCGGTATACGAACATCACCGTGGCCAGCACGCAGTCCTGACCTCAATCCAATTGAACACATCTGGGACAACCTTAAAAGACAGGTTCGAGCAAGGATTCCTGCACCAACGACTATTGGAGAACTCAAGATTGCTGCAGTAGAAGAGTGGCACAACATCCCTCAGTCTGACATCCAAGATGTCATTGATGGACTTCCAAACCGACTGCAAGAAGTCATCAGAGCCCGAGGGGGTAATACCCGTTACTAAAAGTCATTAGACGACCACAGAAAATTAAAAATTAACAATATTGTAAATCTATACTTTTCAACAAAAATCACTAAAAATGGTTTTTTTTTATTTAAATGGTGAATAAATGCAGTTTTTTACATTATTACACAGTGTTTAAATGACAAGATGTGTCTAATTTAAAAATAAAATATCAGACTTTCTCAGTTATAGGCAGCATATGAGAAAATCTAGAAAATCAAGGTGGCCGGTTAAATGTGCCTGTGAGTGTATTAATCTATTTACTAATACTTATATGAATTTGTATGCTTCAAGGCAAAACATAGACAAACTACAACCTCGCTGTATTGCACTGCGTGTCAATCATTCAAACAACTTTATATAACCTATGTTTACAAATAAACGATTTCATTTTATTTCAATATTATTATCAAGCTACAATTTCTATCAACTTTTAGACCCAAACAAAAATAGACACCATATCATATACCAGCAACTAAGAGACAAACACACAAACAACATCAACTACTAACGTCTGTAGAATCTGCTAGTCTCCGATTGAAGGAGACACTGACAAATCGAGTTTACTAGCTATACAAAACCACTATATCTTGGTCTCGCGTTGTATAATCTTTGCGCACATTCGAGAGTCAGCTTATAATGGTTTCGCATACCTTCATGTGTACCAGTATGTTCCAACTCGGCTAAAACTAATTGAGATACGGTCAATCGCACCTATGTCAACATGTTGCGATATTCAACCTTATTACAAGGGTGCAACGATGTTAGTCGGTTGGCAGTTTGATGTTGATAAATCAATCATCTGTTTTGCATGTGGTTACGTCATTATGTTTGGTTTTGAAGCAGGGTGTACAGTTTACGTGATATAACCCTTAGCAGTATTATTAATGCTAAAGTTTTTTCTCGTTTGTCTTTCGGTGACGTCACAATGTGGTTTTAGGGCTAGATTTTTGTGTCTGGAAAACAATTAGGAGGTTGGAAAGGCATGGCAATAAAGTCATGTTGAAGAGCCATGCTTCGGCACGAATGGGCCGGCTCGACTGGAGTGATACCACGGCCGAGCAGAAAAACGACGTGACAAAACGCTTGCGTTGTGTTTGGTGCCTCCGGAGTTCCAGGTGTCCATGGGCGACGCCGATTGTTTATCATCTGGTGATCCGTCTGCTCGTTTACCGGCATAAAAAACTCATAG